TACAGCATTGACTGCGGTTTAATTTATTTTTTGCATTAATTATTGTTTCGAGACTACAAGTAAATCAGTATTATGAGATGTATTCACCCAATTTCGTTTAAGGTGATAAAGGACTGGTAGAAGAAGAATTTTTCCACAAATTGATATGAGTTGAGCTGACATTTCCGTTGAATTTCACGTAGCGAGGTCGAAATGAAAACGTCAGCTCAACTCATATCATTGTGGGAAAATTCTTCTTCTACCAGTCCTTCATCATCTTCAACGAAATTAAGTGAATGCATCTCATATTGCAGTTTAATTGCCACCCGAGTCTCATGCACACGCCAAATGGGCTTCGAGAGCTGAACCAGTGCATAATTTGTCAACATGTGGCTTCGCAACACACTCACTGTTGCTGGTATGACTTTCAAGGCAGGCCAGACCGATCCCAATTCCCGTTGTGTTCTTGAGTTTTATATGAGACAAACTTCTATTTACATTTCGTTTGAGGTCATAAAGAGTCTGGTCTCGAAAGCCTGCTTATCAACACAAAACTTATATTTGACAATAATCGAACGCGTTACTTATATTCGTAATAAGTAGGCGCAAATGGATCTTGAGTAAATATTTTTTTCGATTGAAGTAATGTTAGGCTTACGAATTTAATGTCAGGACATCCGGTTATCACTTATCCCATCAGTTCAGATGACCAGAGACTCAAGAGACTGCTTGAATTAAAACGTCTGAGATACATGACAGCGTCGGGTTTTATGAAAATATAAGTTCGCCTTGTTCTCAGTTGTGTTGCGACCGGGGCTCGCGTCCCGTTGCAAAGTTCAAACGGAAGGACAGACTCAACGAGAAAGCTTTTTCGGTAGCAAGACGAAGTGGAATTTACTGGCTCAACCATTTCAGCGTGGCACAATTTGTGCATCACTTTTGAGCTCACCTTATACCAGCCGGACTGACACGTTTTTACTCAACAATGGCTCATAAACGTGAACATAGACCTCAACTGGCGAAAGGATCGAGCAGAACAGAAAAGAGCAGAATTAAGCCGCAGTATTCACTCGGACTTTTGCCGGCAAGTGGATGTTTCCTTTCTGCCAGTCGATATGGCAGGCCTAAGGGCAAACCCCGAATGGGGTTTTGCTCCTCCAATTACTTCGAGGTTTGCTTAAACTCGGCTTCCGGAGGTATCGTGAGATCTGATGGGGAAAAGAAAACGTGCCCCAAGTAATCACTCCCGATTCCTTCTGTGCAATAATTACCCATGCTCCTTTTTCTCGAGTCGTCAGGCTGTCTGCCAGCCGATAGAACCGAATCCGGGAGGATAGAAGTCTGTCTGTCTGTCTGTCTGTATGTATGTCTGGCTGGCTGGCTGGCTGGCTGGGTGGCTGGCAGGGAAGGGGTAGGTGGTTTATTCTTCTTCTCTTCTTGCCTGATTGCACTTTCTGCACGGCCAAAAGGCTTTTGCTGAGCAAACAGAAGGCTTGGCCGTGTGGAAATATGTTTCTCATTAACTGGGCAGGTAGACAACACAAAACCGGACTTTAGTAACATGTGGCGATAAGAGTCTGGAGCATGCGAAGCGACGAAAGTAGAAGAAATGCTTTGAAATGAGTTGCCGAGAGTGTGAAGGCAAGTGGGCGAGTGTGACTGAGTGGGTTAAAGGGAGTCAAATTTAGACAAACTTCTCGTCAAAAGTGGTTTCAGGCCTGTCTGGCCTGCAAGCACACTGTCTCTAGGCCAAACAGTCGTCGAGCTGGATAGAGACAATCGTGGTTAGCCTTAGGCTGTCGTTGTAAGTGGGAAATCTTCCGGGAAGAGCGCCATTCTTCGTACTATTCCACACGAAAAAGAGGTCCCAAAGAGGTGGCTCGGCAAAGTCGGCTATGCTCGAAACAAGGGCGATGTCCATTTTGGAATGGCTTCAGACTGAGCATTTTTCTTCACTTTCATTTACCGATGGCCAGCGTCAGGCAAGCCTAATGGCATTGCACGTAAATCAAGTCGTTTTTGAGACTATCAGTACATCCTGACTAAGAACCATTACCACTCTCGTCACATTTGATGAAGGGCTGAAAGTTGAATTTTCCGTCTATGAACTCCATTTCGCCTTCCCTCCCAAAATGTTTTTTCAGCGAGTCTGAATCATGCTTGAGCATTACGTATGAAAACCTTTACCATATTGCATTTTATGGTTAGCTTATCGAAGCCACTTGAATATGCAAGTAGCAAGTAGTATGTAAGCTAGTCAGTAGTAGTAAGTAGTAGGCTTCAAGACTATTAATTCAGACTCTAAAGTGTCGTCACTTTATGTGCAGCATCATGGCTCGAGTCCCGTTTGAGGTGCTGCTGCGACTCAGGCGAGATTGAAATAGCACAAATGAATTGACGTCAACGTGGGAAAATTGTACTATCAGTCCCTCAGCAGCTTATGCGACTTAGGCTGTTACTCTCGGCGTCAGGTGGAATTCGAAGAATGTAGCACATCCCACATTCTTTACCCAGACAGTCAGGATAATTGACAACATTGGACCGTTGACTCGGTACCTTCCCAGACATTTCGAGGGCGTTGTCAGTGAGAAGCGCATGTATACAACTCGTCACAGAGACACGAAAATTCCATTCCCTGACCAACTTTCTGCTTGACGGTTGTGG